GGGTTTATGAGGGGGTCCCTGGAATTTTTTTCGCCCTTGTAAGGGGTCCCCAGACCCAAACGGCTTGAGAACCCCTTCTAATCAACGTTTCACTCACTGCATTAGTAGTTTCGAACACATATTTGCGAACAAATGGACAGGAAAAACTGCTACAGCTAACCTTTTCTGTTGTGAGTATAAAAAAACAAAAACAATAAAAATTAAATCTCATGTTAGTTTTGGTCAAATCTTTAAAGAAGAGCTGCTGCAGAGGGACCAAAAAGCCACATGTGATTCCAGAGCCACAAGTTGTAGACCCTGGGTTTAAGCACAAGACATACACCAAGGGTTACTAATCGAGATCCCACTTGATAAGTAACCTTTGGTGTATGTCTCGTGAATAACTCTCAGCTTTTTCGTCCTGATGCATCTCAGTAATCCAGGTAAAAAATCAAAAAGAAAAAAATTGTATAGGTCTTCTGGACGGGTTCTTCTCTAATGAAACGTTTTGTCTCTCCTCCAAGAGACAGTCTGAGAGTTTCAGGCAAAATTCAGGCTTTTAAGCACTGCCTCCATGTGACTGATACTCACATCACATAAACTCTCAGACTGAAGAAGTCTCTTGGAGGAGAGACAAAACGTTTCATTAGAGAAGAACCCGTCCAGAAGACCTATACAATTTTTTTCTTTTTGATTTTTTACCTGGATTACTGAGATGCATCAGGACGAAAAATGAATAACTTTACCCAATGAACAGATGCAATATTGATAACGACCAACAGTGAATTTAGAGGGGCATTTCACTTTTTCTGATTTAGTAATAGGCCTATTCATAACCAAAGGAGACAGGGCATCATGCAGCCTTCATAACATAAAAGGACACTGTGCCATGGTGAGAAAACAAACAAAAAAAATGTCAGWTTTGTCAATCTGCATGAAATTATTAAAGCAAAAATACTGTAGGTCATTTGTTCATTCCTATCCTGGTGTCACCTCAATTTCTACCACTTCCTACAAATTTAAGTGAAAATTTAAATGCATTGAATAAATAAAATAAACCAACAACCTACCAACCTTACCATTAATAATTTCCCATTGTCCTACAAATATCAGGGCTCATATTTATCAAACTTCTTAGAGTTACACTCACGAATGCTGTTAAGAATGGACTAAAGTGTAAAAAAAAATTCTTAGCTAAAAGCTGAGACTGTCAGTCATCAAACATCTCAGTCTTACTTTAAGCAAAGTGTAAGAGGAAATCTTAAGTGTAAAAAGCTGATTTTTGACACTTTGTTGTTCCGCAAAGCTGATCCTGGATGCATTGTTACAAACCCCTTAACATGGACCAATTACTGCATCGGATTTCATGTTCAAGAATAATTTCAGAAATGTCCAGATAAAACTGTGGATGTCCACATAAGTTCACTTTCAACACACTAATGTTCATACATGTCACGTTGTACTGATTGTCATAAATTACATAAAATTTCCTCATTTACATCATGAAGAAAGAAAATCTTGCAGATTATTTCAAAACTGCAGCTTGAATTTTTTTTAACGTCTCAGATCCTGAGATAATGTTGAGTTTGCACCAATAGCTTCCTCCACATTTTAAAAGCAGCTCTGATGTTTACGCTCGTTTTATTCTTTCTTTTTAACTTGGATTTCATCCTGGATCTTCTTCTGTTTACCTGTCTTTGCTTCCTGAATAGGCGCCACTCGAGAAATTGGCAGTTTTCCTGTAGCGTTAGCTTGTTTTTCTGCCATTGGCACAGCTGTAGCACACGGCACAATCTTGAATAAGAGTGTGTGCTGCAGGCAATGGGGGGGTGGGGGGCAAGAGCAGCTTGTTCACTAGCATGATTGACACCAGTTAAACAATCCTCCGGGCTCTGATTGGCTGTTTTTGACCAGGAGTGGTAGGTTTGAACAAATGGCTCTAAGACCACCACGAGGAGGCCAAAAAGTTTTTTTTTCAGAGATTATCTAAGATTATCTATCAGGACATAATGATAGTTTTAACAAATATGTAAAAAAATGGGAAAAGTTACTAACTATAACGTTAGGCTAAAGTTTGATGTGGTAGTAGTTGAAAGTAAATTTACTGCACATTCTTCATGTACAAACATATCATTCATGACACCGTGGAATATTGCAGATTCCACTGAGATTGTGCATAATTTTATTTTACAGTTTCCATCAAAATGGGTAGAACTTTGTCATTTTTCAACATAAAGTGATACTGGTTGAAAACTGGCATGAAAAGTAGTGGGCAATGTGCATTCTTTTAAGGACTGCTATGACTTTTGAAACACAGATGCCTATCATGTTGATTAGATCATACTCATACAGAATGTGAAGCAGTCCTATTTTGTTGGAACCCAGAGCTGACAGTCTGTAAACACATCTATGTACTCAGGGTTTTCTCAGCCTACATTAAGGACATTGAGGAGAAGCCTGGACCCACACCCTGGGGAGCCAAGATGCCTTTTGGGGAGGTGATGCTGGAACATAAGGACTGTGGTGGGTGGGTGCACAGTGTTTCCTTCTCCCCCAATGGAGACCAGCTGGCCTGGGTGTCTCACAACAGCAGCATCACTGTAGTTGATGCAGCTCAGGGGAAAGAGTGAGTGTTTAACATTCCACTGTCAGTATTCACTCAGTGTTTCTTCTWTAGTTTTTGCAATCATTTTATTTCATTTTAACTAAAACATTCAAATCAGTTGTGAACAGTGTGTTATGTATTTTTGTGCAAAGTTTATACATTTCCATTMATTTTATTTACAATGCTTTCTTCAAAAATACATTGAGATTCTTTTAACTGTCTAAAGGACATTGTTCTCTTGGAAATCTGCAACTTGTTTTAATTTTGTCTTCTCAAACTGTTTTATTTAATCCTTTGCATGGCCAATATGGGGAAAAGCAGTATTTGAGCCCTTGGTGATTTTGCAAGTTTGCCCACTTACAAAGACATGAACAGTCTATAATTTTAAGGGTAGGTTAATTTTAACAGTGAACAACAGAATATAAAAAATCCAGAAAATTACATTGTATAAATTATATAAATTTATTTGCATTTTGCAGAGAGAAATCAGTATTTGATTCATCTGGCAAACAAGACTTAAAACTTGATGGCAAAACCCTTTTTGGCAAGCACAACAGTCAAACTTTTTTTGTAGTTGATGATGAGGTTTGCACACATGTCAGGAGGAATTTTGGTTCACTTTTCTTCACAGTTCATCTCTATCATTAAGATTTTGAGGCTGTTGCTTGGCAACTCAGAGTTTCAGCTCCCTCCATGGGTTATTGAGGGGATTAAGGTCTGGAGACTTACTAGAGCACTCCACGACCTTAATGTGCTTTTTTTAGCCACTCCTTTGTTGCCTTGGCTGTATGTTTTGGGGCATTGTTGTGCTATAGACCCAGGCAAGACACATKGTGGCAGAGGGAAGGTTGTCACTCAGGATTTTACGGTACATGGCTTCATCCGTTCTCCCATTTATGTGATGAAGCAGTCCTGTCCCCTCAGCAGAGAAACACTACAAAAACACAATGTTTCCACCTCCATGGTTGACAGTGGGGACGGTGTTTTTTGGGTCACAGTCAGCATTTCTCTTCCTCCAAACATGGCGACTTGAGTTAATGCCAAAGAGATAAATTTTTGTCTCATCTGACCACAGCACCTTCTCCCAGTCACTCTCAGAATCACCCAGGTGTTCATCGGCAAACTTCAGACGGGCCTGAACATGTGCCTTCTTGAGCWKGGGGAGCTTKCAGGCACTGCAGGATTTTAATCCATTACGGWGTCATGTGTTACCAATGGTTTTCTTGGTGACTGTGGTCCCAGCTGCCTTGATCAATAAGAAGATCCCCCATGAAGTTTTAGGCTGACCTCTCACCTTCCCCATGATCAAGGAGTTGGGATTTTGCATGGAGCTCCAGATTGATGTGGATTGACAGTCATTTTGTATTTCCTGCACCAACAGTTGTCTCCTTCTCACYCAGCATCTTACTGATAGTTTTGTAGCCCATTYCAGCCTTGTGCAGGTCTATGATCTTGTCCCTRACATCCTKAGACAGCTCTTTGATCTTGCCCATGTTGTAGAGGTTAGAGTCTGACTGAYTGAGTCTGTGGACAGGAGTCTTTTAAACAGGTGACAATTTAAAATAGCTGTCTTTAATGATAAACTGACTGAACTTTAATGCAGGTAACAAGTTGATTAGGAGTGTCTAGCTGGTCTGTAGGAGCCAGAACTTAACGGTTGGCAGGTGATCAAATATTTACTTCTCTCTGCAATATGCAAATAAATTTATATAATTTATACAATGTAATTTTCTGGATTTTTTAACATTCTATTTCTCACTGTTAAAATTAACATACCTTTGAAATTATAGACTGTTCATGTCTTTGTAAGCGGGCAAACTTGCAAAATCATCAGGGAATGAAACACTTATTTCCACCACTGTAACTTTTTTGATGCAATATGCAAGCCATTTACTACTCTTAGTTTTTAAGCTAGCCTTTTAATAATTTAAATTTTAGCTGTCATTTTGTTTAAACCTTTATTTTTTATCTAAAAAGTTGAAGTCCTCTGGACAGGTTTTTCTTTATTGAAAACATTTTGTCTCTTCTCCAAGTTTAATTTGAGGAGTTACAGATAAGCTCACTGCACATGGTGGACAAATGCAACCTTAGCAATGGCAATCAAAATTGTTTGTTCACAAACAAAAGAGGACCATCAGCCTAACAAATGATCATTAGTGTTCTGATTATCCTTATTGTCCWCAGAGGGCTGAGTCTTAYTCCCAATAACAGCATTGTAAAAGRGGGGCCATTAGACAAGGAGGCCTCCACTCCTGTTTAATGATGGGSAGTTTCTCTTCACAAAAAATGGCTTCCTTTACTCCTCTCTCTCTCAAATAAATATTCCACTCTGTAAAGGGTGAGGACATCCTCATCCCTGAAAGACTGACTGCTGGCCTGCAGATGAGTGTAAACTGCTGAGTCTTGACTTGATGATGTTGCTCTTCTGTGTTATCAGTGAAATTGGACCCCCTCCCCCAACTCTGAAGGACCACTCCCCTTAACCACTTACAGTCTCTAAAGTTGATTTTTTTTTTTTGCTTTATTACCTCTACTGATGAGCCAAGCATTATCCAAGGTGTTATTTTTTAACTGTATTTTCTATTTTTTTTACCGCGTTATTGTTTTAGTTTAATTTGTTATTTTTATTTAAATTTGTTGCTGGATTTAATGGCATGTAATGCAGCCACACAGAAGAGAATTTTTATGGACCAGATTGTATTTTGTTATTGCATAATTGTGTTTTCATGGTCAAAAGCTAAAAAAAATATCTTGGCAAAAACAAAGTTTCATCAAAGCCATTTAGCTTTTACGTATTTATTTCCTTGATTTCTGTAATATTTGAATGTTTCTGCTCAGGGTGACCCAGCTGACTACTGAGTGCCTGCCTCTGCTGAGTGTCATCTTTGTCTGCCCCACTGAGATTGTTGCTGCGGTAAGTATCACCCCTTTAAAGTCTGAGTGTGCTCTGCAACCATCCTTCAAAATTTCAAAGTGTAACTAATGTTTTAATTTTTACAAACTGGAAGAACTATTTTAACAAGCAGATAAAACTTTTGTGAAAAAACAACAACACTTACAACAGCTCATAGAGAAAATAAAATTTTGAGTATCTCTCTAGAACAGGGGTGTCAAACAYATTTTCACCGAGGGCCACTTGAGTGTTATGGTGGCCCTCGAAGGGCCACTTGTAATGAACTTTGTCGTTTCATGTTTAACTTTGACTAAATTGTGTTTTAACATGTCCTCTTTTAAACACTGATAAGAACTAACTGTAGTGGCCAGGTGAACGCCAGATCTCTGTCCTTATTGTTAGGGATTTTAACATGCATGTATGAACAGCTTCCTTCCCAAACCATGATGCTGCTTGTCATGATGCTTTCGATGGATCCTCTATAGAATGTGGTGAGCACGGGCGTTTGGAGKTGTGCTCATTCAGCCTGCTGAGGGAGTGCAGATGCTTCTGGGCTTTCTTCACTATGGATCAAGTATTTTTAGTCCAAGACRGTTGATTTCTATGTGCACCCCCAGGAACCTTGTGCTCTCCACCACCTCCACCACTGTGTTGTTGATGAGCAGAGGTGTGTGATTTGTCTTTATTTTCCTGAAGTCAACAATGAGCTCTTTTTATTTTGCTGACATTCAGAACCAGGTTATTCTCTCCACACTAGTTCACAAGTTGTGCCACCTCTTCCCRGTATGCCTGATCCTTGTTGTTCRTGATCAAACCCACGACTGTGGTATTGTCTGCATATTAATGATGTGGTTGGATGCAGACCTGGCAACACAGTCATGGGTCATGAGGGTGAAGAGCAGTGGACTTAGAATGCAGCCGTKGGGGGAGCCTGTGCTCAGGTTGATGACAGAGGAGGTGTTCCTCCCTACTTGTACTGATTGTGTCTRTCTATGAGGAAGTCAAGGATCCAGTTGCAGAAGGTGGTGTTTGAAGYCCAGTGAAGCCAGTTTKCTGACCAGGTGCTGGGGGATGATTGTATTGAACACTGAGCTGAAGTCCACAAACAGCATTCGAACRTGGACATTTTTCTCCTCCAGGTGTTGCAGGCTCAGGTGGAGAGCTGAGGCAATTGCATCTTTTGTGGAAAGGTTGGAACAGTAAGTAAACTGGAACAGGTCAAAGGAGGGAGGGAGATTGGAGGTGATGTGGTGTTAAAAAAAGACATTTGAAGCATTTCATCATCATGGGCATATGAGGGCCACAGGACGGTAGTCACTGAAGCTAGTTATTGTTAGCTTTTTTGGTGCCAGTATGATTGTAGCTTCCTTAAAGCRGAAGGGAATGATGGTTTGCTTCAGAGAGTTGTTGATAATGTCCGTCAGTATGGGGGCGAGCTGTTCTGCGCATTCCTTGAGTATTTTCCCTGGAATGTTGTCGGGTCCTGCTGCTTTCCTGATGCTGATGTTCTTCAGCGACCTGCAGACTTCTTCTATTTCAGGGCTTAGTGGCTGTTCATCAGATGGTTCCCTTCACAGCTGGGGTGTTTGGGGTGAAGTCTGTAGTTCCAGTAAAGTCCTGGCGTCATAAGTCATTCTGCAGTTGTTCTTTTGGTGGAGGGTCAGGTAATTTCAGGTAGAATGAGAATCCAAAACAAAATCTTAACCAAAACAAAAACTGAACCACTGCTTTGGATACAGTGGACCACAATGTTTTGATTTCATGTCCACCGCACCAAGTAAGTATCTGTGGTACCATGCTAAACTGGTTGAGATTATGTTTGTCCGACAGAATCATGTGTGTTAATACAGCTGGTTCTGAAATCTCCCCGCTCCTGTGCCTTTTGGGGCTCTATAGGGTTCTATCTTGGGTCCCCTGCTTTATGCCATTTTATCTGCTTCTTTTGGGTACTTTACTTTAAATTTCAATGAAAGGATAACAGAAGTGGTTCCCAGTGACTCCTGTGAACCTTTGCGTGTTAATCTGCCCCCCTGGCACTGCATGTAAAGCAGAGAGTTTGTAACTTGGGTTTTAAAATGGACTGTAATTTTAAATTAGATTCCCTGATGGGAGCTGTAGTCAAGGTCGGGTTTGTCATCTCAGGCAGYTGGCAAAGGAAAAACCATTTCTTATAAAACAACACTTTGAAACATGCCCTTGTCACGTCTTCGCTTGATTACTTGTAATCCTCTTTACCTCGGAATCAGCCAGTCCTCACTCAGACGYCTCCAGTTGGTTCAAATGCTGCTGCTCGCCTATAACTGGAGTCCATAAAAGGGAGTACATCACCCCCACTCTGGCTYCCTTCCACTAGCTACCTGTTCATTTTAGAGTTCATTTTGAGATTWTTTWWTTTTTTTWAAATGGTCTTGCCCCATCYTACAACTCTGAGTTGATTCATCCATACTCTCTTGCTCTGAGCTTCAGGTCAGCTGATCAGCTGCTCYTGAAGGTACCGAGATCCAAATATAAACTCAGAAAGGACAGAACTTTTTGTGTTGCTGCTCCATCACTGTGGAAAGATCTCCCACTTCTTGTTGGACAAGATAAGTGAGCAGGATGGGAGACTGTGGCGAGATTAATTGCCATTTGCTGGCTTCCTGAGATTGATTGTTTTTTTAATGTTCCCTGAGATGATGTTTGTTGTGACTTGGCACTAAAAAACTGAATTTGGTTTTATTCTTTGTTTTGGGTGTTTTTTTATGTTTCTTGATTTTAGATGTACAGCATTTTGATGCAGCTGTGGTTGCTTTAAAGTATTTTACAAATAAAGTAGTAGTAGTGTGTTWGTTTGTCTTTTAAGATTTTTCATGAACCATGTGATCAATTATAGTGAAACACTCAGAACATGATTAATCTGATAAACTGTTGGATTCAAGTCTATTCAAAATGGCTGCCACAGCTAAGCAGATTCAATAARCACTAAAATTGCTRTAACTCAGTCAATTTSACAGRTATTTAGCCAAAATCTGGWGTGGTGGTTGCTGCAAGTATGGGCTATTTTACCTAAATCGCTCCAGGTGTCATCCTGAATACRTACTTAAAGCTCTCACAGATCTTATAAGATCTGTCAATATTGAATTTACAAGGTTTGGTCAAAAYAGATATRGGTCTATCTACCTCCTATCTTCATAAATTTATCTGTGTTCAAAACTGGCATTAAAGGCAGAAAGGGATATGCATTTATTTTACAAGAATTTATTGAATCTTTAATTCAAATCCAATATCTATAGTAACTAATATTCTCTCTTGACTTTGTGACCCACTGGACTCTGTTATTTCTCTGTTAGGGTCATGACTGTTGCCCATATCAGTTTACTTATAAGGGTCCAGGTGCCCTGGAATTTGTCAAGAAGCTGGATATTCCCAAGCAGACGTCTAAGGGCAGCATGTCAGCAATGCAACACTTCCGCAACCTGGACAAAAAGGCCACAGAGGAGGACAACAATGAGTTGGACACCCTTCATCAGAACAGCATCACGTAAGACACACTGCCTCTCCATGCTTTGTGACATTTTAACTAGAAAAATTCTACAATAAATTATTGAAAATCTTTCATCCTACATCATTTGCTGTTGAATCTGGACTCATCAGCTCAAATGTATGACAAAAGTCTATGGTTATGGTGAGTGGCAATGGATAAAGAACCCATGTGAGCAGGAGCCTCGAAAGTGGGCCCATTGCTTTCCATAAAATAACACTGAGCTTTAATCAAACCTTTGCATTCCTTGGATGAAATACACAAGGTTAGAAACACTTTGTTCTAAGCTCCGCAGGATCCATAAAGGGATCCCCAAGAATTGTTTTCCTTTGACTGCTCAGAGCCACGTGAAATGCCAATCTTATGCTTGGCTCTCCGTCTCAAAGCGTCTGAACTCCTACAAATGCAGAAAGGTCTTACCTAAGTAGTTGATGAGGAAGTCTGTTTAAGTGCTTTAAGTGGTGAAGACGATGAAGACCTCTATACAGCCTGACCCTGACCCCAACACTAAGGTTAACCAGGAGAAATGTGACCCAAGTATGGGTCTCCAGAAAAAGGGGTGCCATAGAGTAACGCCCCTTTTGTTGTTGTCCAATCAGGTGGTGCCATACGGTGACGCCCCTTATTTTGCTTGTCCAGTAAGGTGTTTCCCTTTTTAAAAAAGTCAGTCAAATCAGGTGTGTCGCTTTAGAATCGCCTTTCGTTGTGACACGACTCGTCCGCAGAGATCCCTACTTGGCTAGAACGAGCAAATGTGTTAATATTTTGTGCATTAACTGGCGCAATGGGATTAACTTTTACAAGCAAGGATGTGATTATTTTAGATGGGCGAACAGCTTCCTCTGTACAAATAAATGTACTTGGGTGCAAGTGGGATCCATCCAAGATGGCGGTTGCACTGAAACGTAAGCAGTCCGTAGGGTATTCACGTATATGATGTCTGTGCCGTAACAGGTGTTGCACAACAAGCTCACATTAGCGCTTGTACTCGACTGCAGTAATAACAGTCTACAAGCAACATTTTCCCCCTCATTCACAAAATGCTCAAATCTGGGACATTTCCGGGGACAGATTTAGCCGGGAATAAGTCATCCAAAACGGGACGTCGGACAGTTTCTTTATTTTTCAGGGGTGCTGAGGTATAGTTTTAGGGGTACTAAAACATCCCTAAAACACAGCCACGTGAAACATGGCCACAGCTACAACGGAATGGTTGAAACAAAACATATTCACATGTTAGAATGGCCCAGTCAARGTCCAGACCTAAACCCAATGAGAATTTGTGGCAAGATCTGAAAASTGCTGTTCAAAAATGCTCTCCATCTAATCTGACTGAGCCACTTCTGTTATCCTAATACACTGAAATGGAATTCTGATAAAAGGAGTTCCAAAGCCTAAATAGTAGAAACAGTGCTCAGAGTTGATGTGGGTCATAGAACACTTTACATTACATTAAATTACTTATTACTCATTTTGACATCTTTAAAGCTTTTAGACAGTCACATTTACAGTTTGATTTTTACAGATTTTTACATAGATTATGGAAATAACAACTGTCCAATGTGTTCAATTTTTGCAAACAAACTTTTCTAATGCCCACTTTTTTTAGTTCATGCACACATTTGATATCGGCAAAAGTAATTTTGTCTTCTTTCACCCAAAGTGTCTCACTGCTACAGGACTCCTCAATCTACTCTGGGTGCAGAGTGTACACCCAGGCTTGTACAGTCTTTAAGTGCATTTTAAAGGGGCAATATCATGTAAAATCAACTTTTTTAGTTTTATACCATGTTATAATGTTATACTCATAAAAAAA